AACAGCCCTGGCTGAGACCACGTATCCCGAGGGCTCCAGCCGGACAGACGGCCAAAGTGCTGGGCCTACCTGGAGCTTCTTGATCTCCTTCTTCAGGTCGGCTTCATACTTCTCCTTCTGGTTGGCATTGGCTGCATTATGGAGCTGTGGGCGAGAGACAGAGGGTGAGACAGAGTATGGGGGATGGGACAGAGTGTCCCTGGCAGCCCGGGGGGGGCTCCCTGATCTGGTGTGGGATCAGTTGGGGGGCTACAATAGCCAGGGAGGGAGAGCTGGGGGGGATCCAATGTGGGGTGAGGCCCGGGAGGCTGGGGGGGGAGGGGGGGGTGCCTGCTCTGGGGTGATGTGGGGTAGGGGGGCGTGGACACAAACAGCTCTTGGGGTGGTGTGGGGGGCAGCGAGGCCGGGAGAGAGAAGAGAATCAATGCAGGAGAGAAAAGCAGAAGAGTTTGGGGACAGGGAGAGAGCAAGGTGGAGGGTGATGAGAGAGCTGGGGGCAGCGAGCCGGTGGGGGGGGGGGGGTGAGGCCGAAGGGGGAGCTCTTACCTTCTGCCAAATATCCTCAAACTGCTCCACCCCCTCGGAGACCTTCTTCAGACACCGATCGATCTCACCTGGAGGAGCGGAGGGGCGGGGGTCAGCCCCAATCTCCGACAGGGCTAATTACTGCCACCTCCCGCCCGCGCTCCCCAACCCAGTGTGAGGTATAGGGTAGGGAGAAGGGACGGGCCTGAGGTCACACAATGGTTTGAACCTCAAACAGAACTCAGGAGTCCTGGTTCCCAGATCTCCACCCAACCACTAGACTCTACTCCCCTCCCAGAGCCAGGGAGAGAACCCAGGAGTCCTGGCTCCCAGCCCCCCCACTCTAAAGGCAGCCCTGACAAACTCCATCGCTCCGGCTCTCACAAAGCAGGGAAAAGACACAGGGGGAAGGGTAAGAGGCCCCTCTCTCTGCCCCCCTCCCCGATACATGCCCCGAGCCACGCACCCCAGGAAGGGCGGGGGCAGCCTGCGGGGGGAGCCGCCCTACCTTGCAATTTCCTCTTGTCAGCCATGTTTCGGTCACTGGCGGGGGGCTCTCCTCATGCTTCAGAAAGCTCCAACGCTGCAGGGGACAGCAAAGCAACGTTACGGCAATGCAGCCTCCCAACCCACTGGGGAGAAGCCCTGGCGCCATTCCTGGCCCCCCGAGCCAGCCAGTCCCTGCCTTGGGGTCGGATGGGAGCCGGCACCCCCTAGTGGGGAGAGATCCCAGGCCCCTTTCCCTGCCCCCCTGAGCCAGCCAGTCCCTGCCTTGGGGTTGGATGGGAGCTGGTGCCCCCTACACGGGAGAGGCCCTGGACCCCTTTCCCTGCCCCCCTCAGTCAGCCAGCCTCTCATCATAGTCTTTGATCAGATCAATTGTCCCAAGCCTGTTCATTCATACACCCCCACCCCAGCAGGGGGCAGCGCTGCGCACACAGCCACACCCCCACCCCAGCAGCAGGGGGCAGTGCAGCACACACCCACCCAGCCTTCCAGTCAAACCATGAAATAGCAGGTTTTGAGGGTCGTGCGGCTGGCCCAGAAGGGGCCCGGCTGACGGGACGCTGGCTGTGTGGCCCCTTGCCAGGGCGCTGCTGCCAGTGGCCCTGAGGCTGGCTCCAGGGGGCGTGGCACAGAAGCTGCCAGCATGGGCCAGGGCTGCCGAGACAGGCAGGATTCAGGTGTGGCTGGGTGTTAATCCCAAAGCCGACCGTGCCTGGAGTCTGAGCGGAGCCACCTCGGAGCTCAGCGACTCGGGACCCGGAGACTGTGGGCGACTGGAGAACGGGGAGGAGACCTGAGCCTATGTGTTCAGATGCTGCCTGGACCGGGGCTGGTTCAGCCCCCGGGTTAGTCCGGATGCTGTTTGTTATTTCCTTGGAGGGGACGGGACGGGGCTTCCCGGGGTGCTTCATACCTAAGGGCTGATTCTCAGGAGGGGCAGCCCCCCGGGGTGACTCAGGGCAGCTCAAGTGTAGGCTCCAGTCTCTGGGGGGCAGAGAATAGCCACAGACTTGGGTGCCCTGGCCAGGCCCCTGATCTGCTCCCTATGGGCCCAGGAATAGCCCCAGTGCCCCAGACAGGCCCCTGATCCGCCCCCTCACCCCAGGGGAAGGTGATTCGCAGCGGGGGCTGTTTCAACCCCCTTTGTCCTCCCTGAGGGGCCTGGGCATTACCGGCTAAGGGCTGTTTGTTCAGTTTCACTTCCTGGTTCCCCAGGAGGCAAACCGCCTGGGGGTGGGGGGATCATATGCCAAAGAACCTTCCCCCCTGAGGCTTGGGGGGAGCCCTCCCGCATCCTTGCTTCCTAACAATACACTGGAAGCCTCAGGGAGCTGGCCTGGTCCCTTTAATCTGCCCCCCCCCACCCCCGGCCTAACGGACAATTCTCAGCCAGCTCCCCACGGGGATCACCTTGTCTGCACCCCGAGCACACAGCCCAGCGGGATTGGCTAATTGCTCCTGATGGAGAAGCCACACCCAGCCAACCCTTCCAGATGTTAATTACCCCCCCCCCACTTAAAACCTGCCCCTTATTTCCACTCTGAACTGGCCGAGCTTTCCCGCCCAGCCTGTGGCCCTGGTCAGACTGGTGCCTGCCAGCCCGAGGAGCCCTGAACCCTCTCTTTGTTCAACTATACAGAGGGAACTGGCAGGGCCCACCCCACCGCTGGTGGGGCTCTCCTGACCCTTTGTGACGGATCAGCCCCTGGCTGCCCCCAGGATCCCAGCAGTCTCACCCCAGGGCCCCTGCGTGTGCCCCCCCGGGATCCCATTAGCACCCATGGCCCTAGCGTCTACTGAATAGCTGCCATGCCCCCCAAGTGCTTTGCAAGAGGCCAAAGGCCTCTGGCTTACCTAGAGGTGGCCTGGCTGTCTAGGGCCTGCAGGTGGGAGGCTCCTACACAGGTGAAAGAGGCACATGACTGGGAGGAAAGTTGAGAGCCCCTCCCCCCCACCACAACCTGTGCTGCAGCATAGGATGCTGGGAAAGGACTGGGGCTATAAAGACTCAGTGGTCTAAGAGCGGGCTCTGGGCTGTCGGTGAGAGCGCCACTCCTGGGGGAGGAGAACTGCAGCATAGCAGTGGCCCCCTTTGTACAGGGCGTCTGGAGAGAGGTGAGTGTCGCTAGGCCTGCTTTGCAGATGGGGAAACTGAGGCACAAAATGGGGCTGTGATGTACCTTGGGTCATGCAGCAGGCTGGAGCAGAACCCATGAGTTCACTTCAATTTCCTCCTGCTCTGACCACACTACCCTCCCAGAACTGGGGAGAGAACCCAGGAGTCCTGGCTCTCAGCTGTCTCTCCCCCCCCCCCCCCCCGCTCTAACCACTAGACACCATCCCCTCCCAGAGCTGCGGACAGAACCCAAGCGTTCTGGCTTCCAGCCTCCCCCGCTCTAACCATTAGCCTACATTTTCTCCAGTTAAAACACACCTTGGCCTTTACACACCAAGTGGAGCGAACTGATTTGGTCATTTTAGATTCTAACCTGCCACTGATTTCGTAAGATTGTGAATTGGGCTTGTGGACTGTGCCGGAAGGGGGGTGGCTGTGGGGCGCGGGAAGCTGTCTGAACAGTATAGCGTGGGCACCTGCTTGCTTGTCTCCCGTCAGATGGGCAGCGGTCACCGCTTTTCTCGTGAGACTGGCGATAAACCCAATGATCTAGGGAGAGCCCAAGCCCTCCATATCCCACTGAAGACCTCGGCGCCCCTGAAACAATCACAGCGAGCAAGGGGGCAAAGGGAGTCTGTGGCAGAATGGGGCTCTCTGGCGTCCCAATCCCCTGCCTTGCCCACAAGCGCCCCCACAATCCGCTTGTAAAACTGCCTGCTCTGTACAGCACCTGGCACAGCAGGGCCCTGCTCTCTGACTGGCATGAGGAAAACCCATAATTAATCCTATAACTGTACAGCCACCAACTAGGGGGAGTGGGAGTACGTGGTGCACCTGGAAATGACTTGGATCCTTCTGAGACCAGGCTATGCCAGGGTGAAACTGACCTGCAGAGCAATTCCCATACAACTGAGCTACAGAGCATGGGGGGAGCGACCTGGTCAATTTCCTCCTGGCCAGGCAAGCCCTGAAATTGATCAGATTGAGGCTGCCCCTCTAAATTTAGATCTAAACATCCTAGAAATCAACCGTTTGTTTTAATGCACTCTAAGATCAACAGACAAGCTCCCCCAAAGGGAAGCGTCCGGCTTTTAGCAGGGGCTGTTGCCCAGCAGTGTCTGAAAGCCAAAAATTGCAGCCCGTCCACAAACTGCAATGGATTTAGCCATTGCTTTTGAGCAGGGGTCGTATCTCCTGTGGATCAGCAGGGATGCAAACGCCTGGGGACGCTACCGCTTCTGTTGGCTCCCTCCCCCGAGAGGGCTGAGGAGCAGGGGAGCCCAAAATCAAATCCCCTGACGGAGATGTGGATGGGAAGATAAGGCTAACAAGAGTCTGGTTTGGCCTTGTAAATTTCGGCCCTAAGGGAGGTTGGGGGACTGGATGCTTTTCCCCCCCTAGGGGGCACGGGCTCTGATCTGGCCCCAGAGGGGGAGAATGGTTGGCTGGGGGATAGGGAATGGGATATGAGGCCTTACCCTTCTAGGGGGCAGCAGCGCTGATCCGGCCGCAGGGCTGGGGTCTGGCCAGCTCTGAGGGGTGGGATGGGATATGAGGCTTCACCTACAGCAAATATATTCTTTACCTGGCTAATAGCAGCTATGAGCATCTGTTTTCCAACCCAACCCTACACACACCTCTCACACCCATGGCCTGGCTGTCTTGGTACCAGCTGGCACCAGGGCTGAGCTCTCTGTGGAGCAGGTGAAGGCAGAGCTGCTGGCAGAGAGGGACAATGGAGGGGTTTAGGGAGAGAGCCCCTGGGCAGCCTATCCACCAGGGATCATGGCCAGAGCCCTGTTGCCCCAGGCAATCCCATCCATGCCCAGGGATGGGGCTGTGCCCCCAAAGGGGATCCACTAACAAGCCCTTTTGTGAAGTGGTGGGAATAGAACCCAGGCGTCCGGCTGGCTGATCTACTGCTGTCGCCAATAGGCTGTCTGCCCCCTCAGCGGCATCCTAACTCCCTTGCTCCAGCTGCTGGGCTCCCGCCTGAGCTGAAGTCCTGTGCAACTTAATAATGGGAGAAGGGGACACGGGGCCTTTCCCCTCCGCACATGCACAACCACTGCCCCCCCCCTGCCCCATTTCTGCTTCCCCTATAGATCCCATATCCCCCCTGCCCCTATGTACTCTATACCCCCCACCCCTGCAACACTCACCCCTGGGAACCTCTAGGGATGCTCCCGGGCCACGGAGCCCTCCTGCCACCCTGAACCTTGCAGCGCTGCTGGAGTAAAGGCTCCTCCCCCTTTACACCCGCTTACCCCCGCCCAACAGACCTCCCTATAGCCCCCTAACCGACCCCCCCATTCTCCTATGGGCCCTACAGCCTCCAACAGACCCTGGCCCACTATAGCCCCATCTCCCCTATGGATCCCTACAGCACCCAGTCCGCTGCCCTCCTGCTAGGGACCCTCCAGACCCCCCTCTCCATAGGGTCCCCTATAAACCCCTCCCCTATAGATTCCCCTACCCCCTACATGCCCCTCCCCCACGGGTTCTCTCCGGACCCTTATAGACCCCTCCCCATAGGGGGCCCCTCCGGGCTCCTACTGGCCCCTCCCCCATGGGGGGTCCCCCGCCCCCAGCCCCTCCCCCCGGACCCCCCCCCTCACCGGAGGCTCCTGCGGGCCGGTCGGGCCCCGGGGATCGGTCCCCTCCCCCCGCTCGCGGGCCGACTGTCGCGATGCTGCCGCCGATCAGTCGGGTCGCGACCCCCTCCCCCCACTCGCCGCCGTCTCTCGGGCTCCGCGGCATCCAAGATGGCGGCCAGCTGCCTCCGTCCGCCTCTCCGCCCCGGGGCATGGCCCCGCCCCCCCGGCCGCACCCCATTGGGTTTACCGCACGCCCGTTAAGTCATTTTGTCCTCCTATTGGCTACATTAGATGGAGGCGGGGCAACCCAAGGGACCCGCCTACCTAGTATATGTCAATCAACGCTCAACTTCCTTCTTATTGGCCTCAGCACACATCCATCAGCTCTCCTCACCGTTTATTGGCCGAGAAGGGAGGGTCATAAAGGAGGCTCGCCCACATGGGAAAAGGAAGCAAGGGGCGATACCCGTCACAGCGCGGTCTTCCCCATTGGTCGGAGGGACTGCCCATGAAGCTACTCTCGCAGCTGATTGGCTCCCAGCCCGCAGTCAGGAGATAGCTCAATCGCAACGATTGCCTGACGCGGGGGAGGCGGGCTGATGGATTCGCAAGACACTGATTGGCTGAGACGATGGACGACGAACCAATAGTAGTAGGGTGCAACGGGGAGGCGGGCTTAAAGCACACTGTTGAGAGCTATTGCCCACTGAGGTTCTCACTCAAGCCCTTAGGGACCAATGGGATTGAAGACCACGGGAAGGGCCCGCCCCCTGGGTACTAAGGGCAATATTGAGTTATATGCAGTGGGCCTTAAAGGGCAGCTGGGCCCCAGCGGGGCCTGGGTGCAAAATGACCCCATGCAAGGGGGGGAAGGGAGAATGGGGGAGCCCCAGGCAGCTTGGGGGGGGGGGGGGTGGGGAGGAGGGGGGAATCAAACCAAAGAAGGCGGGGGGGCCTGGGCCCGCCAC